GGGGGGGGGGGGGGGGACAGTCACCTTGGGTTTAACAGTATACTGTGTTTCAAAATGTAGAGGGCCTACCTGTAGAGGTATTTCCAGACCGAAGTAGAGAAGTATTACCAGCTTGCAAAGACTTGCAGGATCTTTGAACACTGGTGGTCCTACAGAAACATTTCATGTTCCTCCACAGGCACCACAGAATGTGTGTGATAGGACTTTCATAAACAGTTCACAGATAAAGTCCAAAGCAGCTGGGGCCCGACAGATAATTGGCTGGGAAAGTAGTCGAGTGATTGACAGTGGAGGAGCCTGATACATACCCTGACTCAACTTCAAACTCTATCAGATATTTATAAAAGTTAACAAAAACCTTTAAATAATTACAGAATCATTCTAACATTTATCATAACATTAGGCTATTATAAGCATTTATCTTTACAAGTCACATAGCCAACCTGAACCCCACTCTGTAGTGCTTTACCTGCACTTCAGTTTGTTTTGTTGCCTGAATTCTTTCATAAGAATAAACTTTATAATGGGTTGTAATGCATTTCACTTTAGATGCTAAATAATGTGATAGTACCAGTTCTTAATGTAATTTATTGTCTGTGTAATATGATTACAACTTTACTCTCTCTGTGTTCTTTTAAAATGCACTATATTTTATAAAGTGCCTGCGATGTCTACCATGTCATGTGATTTATTTCAAATTAAAAATTGATATAGTCTAAATGGATACAAATAAACAATGCAACAAGATGAATGATACCACAGACCTAAATATATAAAGGGAAACCCTGATTTTTACTTTGTAGATCTTAACAGGGGAATATAAGAGGTTGTTCACTGAGGCCTACTCAGAGAGTTCATTTTAAGATTATTATTATTCCTAAAACGCAGTCAGGTGTGTGTTCTAAACACTAATGGAGATACAGTACTACCGAGTCTACACTGAAGCTAAAACATACATATCTTAAAAGTACTGTAGTTTTTTCTTATAATATGCCACAGGGGTTAAATCTATTTTTTACGGTCATATTTTATAAGGTATGACAGCTTGTTTTGCATAATTCTGTGTCCAAGAGTCAATCCAAGTTCAGGATTTTACATGAATACAGTACTTTGTTTGTGTAGTATTTCCCCAGTGAGCTGGCCCCTTCTGGTGATCAACTCTCCAGTGCATCTCCTCTCTTCTCTTTACTATTCTCTCCCTGTGAGCAAATTAATTGGTTTGGGATTTGGCTTCAAATATGCAGATCTGCATGTCCCCTTTAAGGCCACCTGAGGGAGCCATTGTCCATGAAAGTATACAGTAGTGGACCTCCAAATAAACTACTGGTCTGGATCTTAAATGTACAATTATACTGTAGTTATTGTGACAAACAAAATACATGATAAAAATGACAAAAAAATATATTTTTG